CCAGCCCCCGGCAAGCAGGCACAGCTGGCACAAGCCTGCCATGGTCCCGGCCACATGCTGGGCTCCTGCCGAGGCTCACGGGGCCGGCAGCGTGGGGATGTGCCCCCCAGCAAGCCCCACATCCCCTCCACACCACGGGCTGGGTCGTGTGTGCTGCAAGGAGGCCGGGGCTGCAGGCAAATGCTGAGATCACTCAATTTTCAAATTAAATCAAGGTCCTAGGAGTCTTCCAAAATTCCAAGCTCCAGTTCCATGTGTCTCCTTAAATACAAATGACAGGGGTTTGAGTCCATTTCCCACTAGGGGTGAGATCGACCTCTCCTGCTCCCCTGCCCCGCACCCCACCGCCACGCCACCCTCCAAGCACTTCTGCTGGCCGAGCTGCTCTGCAGGGGCAGCTTTGGGTTTGTTTGGGTTTTTTAGGGGGAGAAAGGGATGAGGGAGAACAGAGAACAAACAGGAGGGACTTCGCTGCCTGCCCCCTTCCTCCCCACCACCGGCGACGGCTGCTCTGCAGCCCAGCACAGGCAGCAGCGAGGAGGAGGAGCAGGAAGGCCTCCACAGCCTGGCACTCTTGCTGGGGTGATGTGTGGCTCGCCTCTCCTTTAGCTCCAGGACATTCACCAGAGGGAACCAGCCAGGGTCACCATGTCTCTCTTCTCTCCCATCACATGCACTCAGCAGCACCCTGCCCTCCAGGTGCTGGGGACATTTTGCCAGCAGAAAGCCCCACGATGGATAGAAGCTCTTTGCTGTTGGGTCTGGTCAGCCACTGGCACTGGTGGAGGCTTCTTCCACAGGTCTGCAGTGCAGAATCTCCTCCAGCTTCATTTGATGGACACCACTGCTTTGACCCCACCTTGGTGCCCGCACTGCTGCAGAGCACAAGTGAAGCAGAAGAGAGATGCAGGCAGACGGCAGCGATCAAAATAAGATGCAGGTTCCAGAGGCATCCAGAGAAGTCACTGCCAAGGTCACAGCTTCTCTGTCTCTTTACATCTCTCCAACTCGTGAGCATTTAGACTGAAGAGCAACAGGGCTGTCACAGCAACGGTGCCACAAACCTACCTGGACTAGCTGAACCCCACCAGCTGCCCAGGACCTCTGGAGAGAGGCCTCCAGCATTGTCTCTGTTCCAGCGAGCAGTCCTTCCTCTGTGAAACCTTCTGCCCACAGCCACACTGGCCATGTAAAAGCCATTCAACAAAGCCCTTCAGAAGGTGTTTGGACTTTCAAACACATTTCCTTGATGCTAGGAGGCTCCTTGCCCACCCCAGCACTGCCAAAGTCCGCAGCCAGCCTGCAGCTATCAGCGACCGCGCAAGTTCTCTGACCATCGCCGCTAAACCACAGTGGGAAACAGAAACCCCTCCACGCAGGGGCTCAGTAAAGTTTTCATTGCATGCAAGCAGGAAAGGCAGGGAGGTCAACAACCGGCAGCGCCCTGCCCCAGGCACCCAATATCCCATCCCTCCTCGCTGCTGGGAGTGGGAACGATGCTTGAGTGGGACTGGGGAGACAGACCAAAGCCCTGCTGAGCACACACAGCTGAGAGTTCCCTTCAACCTCCAGTACAGATGCCTCCGGACTAACGTCCCCTGGGCAGCAAAAGGCAAAACCTGTCTCCTGGAGCCCTTCTAAATTTCAAGCCCCTGCTTCAACGCAAGAAAAAAACCCAGCAGTTCCCAATGACATGAAAATAGACAGTTTTCCAACATGCATCATATGGGCAAAGCAATATATTTTCACCTAATCTCCCTCTTGGAAATGGTCAGTTTTAGCTAAAATCAGACATACACGCATAGAAAAAAATCACACATCAGCCCAAGGCAGACACCCGGCATGGAAACTTCAACCCCAGCACTTCAGAGTCTGGCAAGGTCAGCAGCAACCAAGAACACGGGCTGGTACAGTGCAGTAGCTGCAAATTTTAAAAACTGCATTGAGGCAGATGAAAAGACAAACCTAGTAAAAAATCCTACACGTACTAAAATAGGCAAAATGTCTTTATGTGTGTCTTGCCTCATCAATGCAGCTAGTCTTATATGGAAAAGCTTGCAGCAAACTTCCTAGGTGTCAGTATCCACCTCTTTATATACATGTACAGAGAGAAAGCAAGGTCATTAATTACGTGTCTAGGCATATATGCGATGAGAAAGATCTTCATTGTTTACAATTATTATGTTTTTAATACTATGGAGGAATTGAGATCTGCCCGCAGTTCCCACAAGGCCAGCATTTGCTGGATCGACTCAGTATTGTCCACATGGATGGGGAAAAGCAGGCAGGGGAGCGCTCAGCTGTGCTCCTGGCCTTGGAGGTGCAGGACTTGGCTCAGCCTGGGCATCTGCAAACCTTGTTTATGCCACAGACAAACGCTGCTCTGCTAGTGCCTGGGAACCCCCCAGGCCTCCTACTCGATACTGAAAAAGGACATTTCACCATCCAGACCGCATGCGAGATGCTCCCGATGGCACCCGCCCGCCGGGAACCCATGCCGGTGCGCAGAGCGAGGAAGCAGCTCAAGCCAGTGGCTCTCCGGCGCGCTCGCCATGGAGCAGGGCA